AAAAAAAAAAAAAAGAACATGCCCTTCTGCTTTGTTTTGATGCTAAACAATAGTAAGTCTGGTTATACTGGAAACATCCAGGGTATGAGGGGTAGATGGGAAAGAAGGAAAGAAAGGGAGGGAATAAATATTTGGAGATTATTTTATTAATAAATGGGCATCTAGTAATAATGATGTTCTAGTAAGAACATTAGCTGTTTAGAATTAGACTTTACTGTAAATAAAACTGACAAGAATATGTGGTGGTTTAAAATATGTCCACAAATTCTTTGATAGTTTTTTCAAAAGTTGTGCCTAATCGTTCTACACCTCGGGGTGAACTTTGTGATCAATTCTAACGGAAAGAATAAGGCAGAAGAGATGAGTGTAAAGGCTGAGGGTCCTGAAGGCACTCAGCTTCCTTCTTACCCTCTTCTTAGATCACGAGTTCTGGGGGAGCGAGCTGTCATCATGAGGATACTTCACGGAGCCCTAGGGAGAGGGCCCTGTGGCAAGACACTGAGGCTTTCCACAGTAGACGCCTGAGTGAGCTGCCCCAGATCTGCAGGTCCCCCATCCCTATCCAAGCCTTGATTTGACTGTGGCCCCAAGTGACATCTTAATTTCATAAGATACTCTTGCCAGAACTACAAGGTAAGACTTCCAAAACACGACCTATAGAAAGTTCTGTTTAGGCCACTGAGTTTAGGGGTAACTATTACATGGCAATAGGTGACAAACACAGAATAACAACAAGGATTTAACTGAGGCTCAACTTAAAAACTAATGTGGCAACTTCTCCACTTTTTCAGAATCCTGTCTGACTTCGAAAAATTGTGTACCTTTCCCTACAGCTGGGCTCACAGATGTGTAGGAAGCTCTAAGAACGTGTCTCGGGGACCATCACAATTCAATGGAAGGAAGAAGAGTCTTTCCCACATGTAGTTCGGGGTAACTGGATGTCACGTGCAAAAGAATGAAGCTGACGCCTTCATACCTACACAAAAAATTAACTCAAAGTGATCACAGATCTAAATATAATAGCTAGAATTATAATACTCGTAGAAGAAAATACAGAAATAAAACCTCATGACCCACCAAAAACCATAAGCAACAAAAGAAAAAATAGACTTCCAAAAGATAACATGGAGAAAAGAAAAAAGACGGTAGACAGAATGGAGAAAATATATCTCCCATATACTGACAAGAAACTAGATTTCAATTTTACAACATAAAGAACTCTTCCAAGTCAATAATAAAAGAACAAATAATTTTAAAATGGGCAGAGGATGTGAACAGACATTCTCACAAGGAAAATATACAAATGGTAAACAAGTACATAAAATGACCCTCAGCATCACTAACTGCCAGGGAGACAGAAACCAAAACCACTGCACAGCACGGCACACCCACAGGGTGGCTAAAATAAAAAGACAGGCAATAATAACCACTGAGGACGAGGAATTGGAACCCTTCTACACTGCTGAGGAAATATAAATTACAGTGGTTGCTCTGAAAAACAGTCTAGTAGTTCTCAAAAGATTAAACACAGAACTACCATGACTCAGAAACTCTGCCCCTGAGTATGGTATAAACCCAAAGAGAAATGAAGACACGCGTCCACTCAAACTCCTGCACATGACTCCCCACAGAATGCCATTCACAGTAGCCAGAAGAGGACACAACCCACTGATGCATCAATGACTAAAATCCGAGAGGACATTGTTCAGTCCTAAAAAGAATGACATACTAAAACATGCATGAACCTTGAACACACTATGCTAAGTGTGTTGTTCTGTTTAATAGTATGTGATTTTATTTGTCTGAAATGTCCAGAATAGACAAATACACAGGGCAGAAGTCAATTCCAAGTCAGCTGAGTGGTTGATTAGAGTGGGAAGAGGAAACTGAGGGGAACTGGAGAGTCAAGTCCTAACGAGTACGGGGTTTCTTTGGGGGTAACAGAAATGTTCTAAAATTGACTGGAATGATGGTTATACAACTCTGTGAATATAATGAAAACCAGTGTATTACACACTTTTTTTTTTTTTAAAGAGACAGCATTTCACACTGAGCATTGCTCAGGCTGGAGTGCAGTGTTTCAATTATAGCTCACTGGAGCCTCCAACTTCTGGGCCCAAGGGATCCTCCACCTCAGCTTCCCAAATACTGGGAAGGGCCACCACACCCAGCTAATTCTTTTTGCAGAGAAAGGGGTCTTGCTAGGTTGCCCAGGATGGTCTCAAACTCCTAGCCTCAAGCAATCCTCATGCTTTGGATTACAAGTGTGAGTCACTGTGCTTGGACAACTCTTATATACTTTAAATATATACTTTTTTGGTGGGGGGAAGAGAGAGTCTCACTGTTGTCCTGTTGTCCTGGGTACAGTGCTGCAG